CTATACTGTGATAACAAACCAGGCCTATAGTTTCTGCCTTCAGTGTGGTCTCTTCCATGTTTTGCTCACTGGAGATTTAAAGTAGATGATGGAATTGCCAGTCTCCATCTCCAGAGTATTGCATGACCTCAGATTATCATTGTCTGCTATTTAGTCATCTCCAAATGTAAAATAAAATGAAAAGCAGCTGAAAACATCACCTATACTGTGATAACAAACCAGGCCTATAGTTTCTGCCTTCAGTGTGGTCTCTTCCATGTTTTGCTCACTGGAGATTTAAAGTAGATGATGGAATTGCCAGTCTCCATCTCCAGAGTATTGCATGACCTCAGATTATCATTGTCTGCTATTTAGTCATCTCCAAATGTAAAATAAAATGAAAAGCAGCTGAAAACATCACTTTATTAATTAAAATTATATAAGAAACAAAATTCAAGAAGACTCTTATTAACTGAAATCCAAAAGTGATCTGGCAATGCTGCCTGTTTTTCTCCTTCAAATGATGAAAAAAGTATGCTAGTGAACCGAGTCACTAATCATGAAAAAATGAAATTCTGAAGGTAAAAGCAAATAAGCCAAATTTTTAGATTGCCTCAAATCACCCTCAGGTTTTGTAAGACATTAATTTAAATAAATTATATTTAAAAATGCTCACACAAGTATTTGCACCTGGTCAGGCTGGTTTATGCAAATACCTCTATGTTTGCTGCTCCCTGTCACCCACATTGCTCCAGCTCTCTTTTCCTGTTTGCTTGCCTATGGCATGTTGACTATACAGTGCCCTCATCAATGCCTCTAGGCACTACTGCAATGCAAGTAATGAATAATGGCAATAAAACTGCACATTCAAAGTTGCATACACCAATCAGATAGTAGGGTGTTGCTTGGCAGGTGGAATTTTGCAGCTAAGGTTATGTCTATACTATGGACCTATGGAGGTGTGATTCCCAGCTCATGCAGATATACCATGCTAGCTCTGTTCAAGTTAGTGCAATAAAAATAGCAGTGTTGTTAGGATAGCACAGAGAGCAGTGACACAGATAGCCTCCCCAAGTACATACACACCTATACTCTCATGATCTCCCTTGCTGCTGCCTGTACTATCGCAGCTATGCTGCTATTTTCAGTGCATTAGCTTGCACAATGCTAGAGCAAATACATCCACACAGGCTGAGAATCATGTCACAAGCTGTAACTGTAGATGTAACCTCAATGTCTCCCTCTACGGAGTATTTCTTGTTACCTATCTCATGGGAATGTTAGGGATTGATGGTAATTGTAAGTACAGTGTTTCAAATATGAAGAAAGGCTGTTTTTATCGTTAATGGATAGGGATCTGAGAAATCTGGGTTTTATAAGCAGCTTTACCACAGACTTTGTGTGTGACCTTAGTCTAGTTACTTTGCCTCTTTGGGACTCACTGTTGTCCTCGGGACAGTAGGCAGTAATAATACTGATCCACCTATACAATATTAATTAATATTAACATTTGTAAAACACTTTAAACATTTTCCAGAACACAAACACTCTCTTCATGTAACACTACTTCATCTAACACCAAAACATCCTACTCATCTGTTGTAATTAAGTGAAAATAAACAAAAAACCAAATACTACAGTATGAGAAAAGTAGGCAATTAAGACAGGCTAGAAAACAGTAAATGCTTAACAAAACAGATGTCGTACTTAGCTGTGTAGACCCATATATCCCAAGAAGTCAGGAGGAAATAAATTGTTCCACTGGTTCGATTATAGGCAAAGCTGAGAACTGACTGGAGCGGAGAGGGATAGGGAGGCGGCAGCACAGTACATAACTTTGTCCCATTATGCAGAGAGAAAATTCTTAAACTTAGGAAAGACAAACAGAGAAGAAAGTAATAAAGGAAAAAGGTTAATACAGAGGTGTTGTTTAATCAAGACATAGGGAAGACACTTCAGTTCATCCTCCCACAGTAATTTTAGTATGCCATGGAAACATCCCCTTTTAAATGGAGGGGCCTGTTGTTTTAAAGTGAAAAGTACCACAATTTTCCCATTCACTTTGTGTTGAAAGCTTTTGTAAGCTAGTGCACATCAATGGAGTTAAAAGTTGTGATGCTATTTTTTCCAGTAATGCCCATGTTTACAATGTTGGCCTGTATGCTGTTCTGCTCAGTTTCCACAATCTGAAGATCTCATAAGACATTGATACTTTTCTTCCTGAATGTGCAACTTTCATTAAGAATGAGTCACAGTTATTTATTTTGACTAACATAACCTAAATCTCAGAAATATGGACAATTTGTAACCTATATTGAGTCAAGCAAGCAGATACTTTCTCTATTTGATTAGTTACTTTACAATTTTAACAGGCGACAGCTAAAACCCTTTGATATGGTTGAATATGGTGTTTATTAACAGACACACTTTACCATTTTTCTATTGCAAGTTTATTGCTAGTGGTGGAGACGCAATACAACCAAGAACCCAGCTTTAAACAATCTCCAAATTCCATTAGCACACATAGTCAGACATACCTGTTGTCAGATCCCATAGCTACCACCCTACTGGATTTGCCATTGGCACCACAGAGAGACAGAGCCTTAATCTGACTGCTGACACGAGTCCAGAATTTGGTAAAATGGTTCAAGTCATACACATGAAGATTATGGGCAGAAGAACAGTATATCAATTTATCTTCAGTCAGGCCCATCCAAACAATTCCTTCAGTGAACAATGATAAACTAAATGAAAGATAAAATCACCATAAGCCAAATAAAATCATGAATTAAAATAAATCAGCAGGGAGTTTACATTAATTACATTTGAGTGCAGGTTGAACTAGATGGGACATTTTTTCAGTGATGACCATGTTCAGCCAAAAAATAATTCTTCTTGTCCTGTCTTCTATTTCTGACTGTCACTAGTTATAGTGACTGTCACCCCTGACTACTTTGATCACCTTGGTGAATCTGGTTTGCAGACCACAAAGACATGGATCTACCATGTACTTACATCCTAAGTATATTCTGTGTGAATTCCTGCAGGTTATATAAATATGTTGCTGGAAATTATAATATTCAAGAGGCCATGATTTCCATTTCAAGTTCTTATGATAACCTTTTAGAAGTTACTAAAAATGATGTATTTTATTGAATCTCTTATTACAGGCTGTAAGTCAATGACATGGAGGTCTCTTTAAAAGTCAGTTATATGATATGGTGCCTTGCAACTACAGGGCCAACACTTCAAAGCCAATTCAGAGCTGTGTAAATTATTTATGCCTCGGGAAATGTCACACAAACATTTATATATCTATTCATAACTGTAAAACAAAATGGAAGCCCATGAACTGTACATCTTATTTTTTCTTTATAAATTAAACACTTCTTGCACATCTTAGCTCTTATATAAATACTCACAGAATTACAGTAGAACTCACTACTAAAGGTGAACTGACCCTTTAATGAAGAAGACCTTGAGCTGCAAATCTTATGCTTGTGTTTAACTTTACTCACAAAATGACTTTTAAAAAAAAATTCCACCAATTTTATTTAAAAAAATTCAATGGCATTTCAATGCTTGAAATCTAGACAAAATATTTTGGTTTGGGTTTCACCCAAATTGCCATTGAACTGAAAAAAATCATTATTTGCACAGCTTTTAACAGAAGCTGTGTTGAAGAGATCATCACCATCTAATGAGCTGAGAATAGATGAGATACATAACTTTCTATTTAGCAGGGTTTCTTGCCTTACACTCAAAGCAAGTGGGGTTATCTCCAAAATATACATAAGATGCCTAACTCCCACCAAAATCAAATTCATTGAAGTTAAATGCTAAAATACCTTCGAGGATCTGGGCCCAGATGTTAAGAGATAGGTACCTTCTGCAACATTTTGAGTCCCCTCAACTCCTCACAATTTCAGCCCCCAAAGAGTTAGAAAATAGAGCTAAACTGTGGAAATATTCTTAAGACATACAATCTATAAAGATACTTACCTTGCTCCTTAAAGATTCACTATTTACCTTTTGAAATACATCCAACATACCATAAATGCTGCAAATTCTAATGGTAGAAATGCATATTAACTTGCTTATATTTCATTATTTGTTAGCAGTGAGGCTCACATAAATGGTATGACTGTTCTACATACCTGTAAAACAGCTCCATTGTATCCAGGGACCAGAGTTTCACTGTCCCATCCAAAGATCCAGAGATAAATAAAGACAAAGTGTTTGGGTGAAGGAAGACATGTGTGACAGACTTGGTATGGCCATGAAACACATGCAGCAAACAGCCCTGGTCATTCCAAGATTTTACTGGTTACATTTTAAAACAAAAAACAATAACCATCAATGAGAACTAAACTATGAAGAAGCAAAAATAAACTATATTTCTTTGTCTCTAGTTATTTTACTGAGGACAGCACTAAAAACAAGATTATTCTTTTAAAAACCCACAAATACTAAAAACACTCTGTGCTTCGGATCTAATACTCTAAGGCTACGTCTACACTGGCCCCTTTTCCGGAAGGGGCATGTAAATTTCATGAGTCGTCGTAGGGAAATCCGCGGGGGATTTAAATATCCCCCGCGGCATTTAAATAAAAATGTCCGCCGCTTTTTTCCGGCTTTTAAAAAAGCCGGAAAAGAGCGTCTAGACTGGCCCCGATCCTCCGGAAAAAGTGCCCTTTTCCGGAGGACTGGCCCCGATCCTCCGGAAAAGGGCGCTTTTTCCGGAGGATCGGGGCCAGTGTAGACGCTCTTTTCCGGCTTTTTTAAAAGCCGGAAAAAAGCGGCGGGCATTTTTATTTAAATGCCGCGGGGGATATTTAAATCCCCCGCGGATTTCCCTACGACGACTCATGAAATTTACATGCCCCTTCCGGAAAAGGGGCCAGTGTAGACGTAGCCTAAGAGCTAATGATATCTTGTACTGTGAAAAAATGCAATAGACGATGAGGGGAGTCAGTTCATGGGAGTCATGAGTACCCTGAGTTCTGTGTTTTGAAAACTAGTGCTTTTCATCATGACCATCTCTGATTTTTCTAATAATTATTGTGAGAAAATCAAAAGAGAGTGGTTGGGCATTTTCTCATGCGTTAGTCAGTATATTGAAAAGGAAGCTAGATGCTTCTTTACTTGGAAAAGACTATAAAATCTGGATAGCTATATTCTCCATTAGCCATTCAGAGTGTGCCTGCTTATCCCCTTGAAGGCTACATATTTACAAAAGAATGATTCTTGATAGATAATAGTCCAATCAAAACCTATGCCATACTGACTTAGTGAGATAATGAATAAAATATAATGTTGCTTGGAGGAATTGTTCAAAATTTAGGTTGAAAGGCTGCACAACAGGGCCCAATTCCTCAAAGGACACGAGAAATCCTTCTATAACATGAAACTGAACACATTTTGCATCTTTTAGGATGTGCTCAGCACCTTGTCATTATCACAGAAAATAATTCATGAATTCACTGGCAGATAATGGGAAGATATTTTGGAGATGTCAATATTAATAAATAATGGTTAAGAGTTATTCATCTGCGGAACTATTTTGAAAAGCTCCAGTATATTTGCATTAATAAAGAAGTCACACTTTGTATGTTAAGATTTATGTTTGTGTTTCAAATGTTAATAGTTAACATTTCTATTTATGAAAACTCAGAGAAACACAAAAGATGATGATGGGGAAGACTTAGACCCATTAATTTCTAGGTATCCTTTTTTACTACAAAAAATAGATCGTGTGACACAACATGTGACCTGGACTTTGTATTTCTGAGGAAGGCAGTCAACAGACTCCCTGCCAATATGGCCTACAGAAATTGTCCTTAATGACTTCAAATGAGAGAGCAAGTAAGTTTAGAATTAAAATTCTGTTCATACACTGAAACACTACTGATTTGCATTGATGTCTCATTAAAACATATGGTAAAGTAAAAAGAAACAAAGAAGTGTGATCATAAGCTCAGATGCTTTGCGATAGTGGTCCATCTTACTTTCCGAGTCTCTGGAGGATGTAAGCAAAGCATTAGAATATGATGAATAGACGCAGGAGAGAATGGTACTTTGGTGGGCGTTGGTTAGCTGAAACAGTATATTCCCTTTGGTATCATAGCAGAAGAGGTGGCAATTAGAAAAGCAATAGAGTCTTTGCATACTGATATCCAACTCCAAATTTGTACACCACATTTCCCTCAGGTGTGGGAATTCTGCACTATATTAAAAAAAACATGATTAAAACCACAGCAACACTTCTGCACACATTTAAATAAAATGACAGTCTCATCTGGTTTGTGAAGCTCTTTGCATACTACAAGATTACACAGTTCATTTGATCAAAGCTGCTGGATATATTTTATATTTCTAAAAAGCATGTTTTCCTAGAAGCAGTAATGAGTACATTTCAGTTGATTATAGTGTTCAAACAATTGTCTAATCATAACACAGTATGCTGGGAATATGTAATGGTGTGTTTTAGAGGTTTTAATGACACTTGTTTGGGATGGCCATCTAATTCACTCATGGATTTACTATTGGTAAGTAAATTTGATCATTCCAAATAAAAGCCAATACAATTTTACAGCATATCATCCCAGATTAAATATGTTGACATAAAAACTATTTTAGGAGTTTTTAAAAAGGTCACAAAGATTATTTTTGTATTAGGAGTAACAGTTATTTCGAGAGAGAGGTTTTCTCTCGAAATAACACTGCTACACAGGGTGTTTTATTTTGCAATAATACGATTTCAAAATGGTGCCCGGACGTGATTATGCTAATTAAGCATGGGATATTTAAATCCCGCGCTTCATTAGCAATTTCGGTACACTACATTTGCATCCCTATCTTGAGATAAGGAGCAAGTGTAAATGTACCCTTACTTATTATAAATCCAAGTCTACTGGATTCAGAAAGAGCCATGAAACCTTCCTAAATACCTTCTTTCTACATAAAAATTATACAAATTGAAAGTTCAGTACCTCAATTTCCCATGATTAGAAGATAGTCTTTGATCCCATTGAGAACCTGGGAGTATCTATTTTGTAAAGATATAATGCTACAGTTTCTAATTCTCAATGCCATATGTCAATGAATTGTAAAAATAGATGTTTATATATCTATATATATAAGCTGTTTATATGTATTGAACATTTATTTGTCCTGAACCTCAGACCAATATAATTTTTGGAAGCACTTAGAGGGCTGTGTGAGAATTTAACTCTTGGGAGTAGAAAGGGGATTTCCTTCCTCACTCCTTCCACGCCCCCCACTTCTGGTTGAAGTTACTCAAGATTTCAGAATTTTGGAATAAATACAGGGGAGATGGATTAGTTGGCAGAGTGCAGGTGAGGCATTCGAAGATGATAAACTCACTTAGTACAAGGTTCTGAATAGAAATCACAGGGCAGCAATTTCCAAATACACAGAATACGTGTTTGTGAATAGACACATTATTTAAAATCA